AGCCGAGTTTAGGATGATTCAGATCGGTTTTCTATTCGGAGAAAGTTCGAAGCGCGAAATTCACGGACGAACGAGAGTTGGACGATTGATTGGAATTGTTCGGGATTGTTTGGGAGCTGGATAAATGGGGATAATTGCAATAATGGGGAGAAGATCGAGCGTATCTCGGCTTCGAAGAAATATAAATTGATCGTAAGTTGTTTCTTCAATTACGTCGCATACAAAAAAAAAAAAATAATTAAGCTTGTCACTGTGTTTCGATTTGGAATTTTGGAATTCGAATTGTTGCTAACGCTCGTTAAGGGAGAGAAGCGTTGTTCGAAAAATCGGGATAAGAATCGGGAAAGAGATGATCTCGACACCTCGCGCGACACCTAAATCGTTCCTCTTTTTTTTTTTTTTTCCCTTCGTTCATCAACGTAATCGCACTGATTGTTGGCCGAAACAATGGCCGGTTGCGGGAGAGAAGCAATTTAATATAAGAAGGCCGGCGGGGATATTACCGAAACCAGATGGAGGCGGTTTGCATTATTGGGAGGATTACGAAAAGAAAGTTAGCTCGATAGGATCTACACGGATTCATTGTCAGTCGTGGAGGTCGTGGCGAGAGGTGTGCGAGGGTTCAACGATGGCCGCTTGTTGCGGCTTTGTGGTTTCTTCTGATCCAAGGGGAGACGAAACGAGAATTAATTAATTTTATTACTATAATTTTTTTACTTTCTTATAAATCTGACTATTTATTTATTATTCGTGATGTGGCGGGAGGAGAGAAAAAGAGAAGAAATGGTTTTCGCGTTACAACTTTCGATTACACAACTCTCTCACTTTCACCGTTTGAATAAAAATAGAATAATTTTAAAAGATTAACATATTCGTAATCCTACCGTCTTCGATCGCTGTGTAACACTTTTTCTTTCCACGTTCACGTTAGAGGTTACGAGTCCTCTCCTCTAAGTTTTTCTTTAGTAGCTTTATCCCACTCGATACTATTGACAGGTATAATTCTTTAAGAACGTATGCGCGTGCTCCTCGAATAGAATTCTTCTTAACCTTTTTTAACATTGTCGCTTATGCGTGTTTTACTCGATCGAATCGGGCTTGGAATTGCTTAATGTCTCGTGTTCCAACATAATTACACGTCATTGATCACACCGATCCATAAATTTTTACGGACATTTAGTAGTTTAGTTTCGTATCGATTGAAATAGAAATTATTACGATTTCCCGGATATTAGTATTATTAGATGTAAAATTAGATGTCTAAATCGAACGTGCTACTAAATCGTTTCGCGTTTTATACTCTTCGAAACTCACTCACATATACATATATATCGTTCGTATCGATCATTTGATACGATCAATTTCATTCGGGCGGTTAAATCCTTAACTCGATCGAGTGCGTCGTCTCGCGAGAAAGAAGAAAGGAAAGAAAAGGAAACTCGAAAGCAATCTCTTTATATGGAAGGTGTTGTATGGATATTGCATGATATTTTTCCACGATGAAGTTAAAAGGGTAATCACGATTGCGAACGTATCGATCATCGGTCACTCTATAAATCATCAGAGCATAATTACCGTCTCGTGATATTAACTTCGAGAAAAAAAAAAAAAAAGTTCCTCCTCCGAGGCCGAGAGGGTAGCCTTTTGAAATCCACGTGATCGGTGCTCGTGACGAGCGTCGTTCCATTAAGAAACTGTCTTTATGACCAAGTTGATTCGTCGTCGTCTGGACAACGAATCAGGTGCGTTTGCAAATTACAAATTAGCTTTTACCAGAGTGTCAGCAACATTATTGTATCATTATATCGTCTGTGGCAATAATTTCGATAAAAATGTCAATTTTACCTTCACCGAAGGTATTAAAGGATTGGTGATCAGGTGCGAGAGAAAATTGCGAATTATTTACTTTCTTTGTGCGTTCTTTTTCATAAGATTTCTTTTTTTTTTCTTTTTCTTTTCTTTTTTTTTTTTTTTTTTTTTCTAAGAAATGTTCATTCCACCCGTTCGATCAAAATCTCACGATCAATACGATTATTCACGAGTAATATTTAAAATTTCGTCGCAATATTCAAAATATCGTCTCGGGATATTTTGATTTTTTCGATGGAAGAGAATAAAGGGTGGTAGAAGGAAGAGGGAAAAATCTCGCAATTGAAATTGGCGGGCCTAGGGAAATTGCAAATTGGCACGCCACTATCACGCAGAAGCGCAGCATACGAGCAGCTGCGGACCGGAACAAATTAGCTGAGCTTTTGTATTTAACTAGCCGTATCAAAGCGTTAAACGCTGTATCTCGCCGGATTTGTAAACAGTACAAACGGATTGCATCTGGAGATAATTTCTGAAGATCGAAGATAGGGATGGAGCGGCCTATAGTTCAACCGGTAGTCGTCAATCATTGCCAGACTTTCGATAGAACGAGCCTATTCGTAAATGGAAATTCTCCCCGACAGATGAGCAAGATCTTCTGTTAACCATTGACCGCCTATTATTTCACAAGCCCTTTCTTTTTTTCTTTTTTCTTTTTCTCCCTCCTCTAACTCCCTCTTACTCTCTTGTCGATGTTTTATCCTGTTTTTCCCCCATCTCGATATCGATATTAATTATTCTCGATCGATGTCGAACAATCGTTGAGAAGACGGATATTTTCTATTGTTGAATTTCTATTGTTTATTAATCTTTGCAAAATTGCGATTTATATTTTAATTTAATCCAGGCGGATGGATGCAGGATCGATATGATAACGAAGAATTTTCTCTCTTGCAATTATTTTATTCTCGTTTAAAATATTATAAATATATATATATATATATTGTATGTGTTTTATATCTTTTTATATATTCTGTAGATTTTTTGTGTATTTTTAAATTTTTCATACATGCATAAATTTCCACAATTATTTAATAATAATAACCCGTGTTTATCATATTGAAAAACATTCTCGTTTCAGAATTCGATGCTTCGAGGCTTTGCTTCTCAACGTGATTTCAGACAAATCGGTAAAATTCCTTATTAATTTCTTATTTATTGCAACGATTCGATGATTATTTATAACACATTCGAACAAAGAACAACGTAACGAGTACTTTTGCATCACTTTTGCATCCGTCATGCATCCATCATTAATTAATTTTGCACCGTTAAATTATTTTCCCTTACTCGCGCGCACGATTCGCGTAAAAATTCGAGGGCAAGACAACGTGCTACAAAAATAAAAAGAAAAGAAAACCAATCTAATTTATACACGCGAACAATGATGCAGCCGATAATCGAGAGACGCCGCGATGACGTGCGCGAATGCATCGAGTCACGATGGTCGAACAGCCGCTGATCTCGCTACTCGCGAGAGCACAATAGCGTTGCCGCGTTGTGGCATTGAGAGAGTTATGAATGAAATGTAGTGCAACGACATTGGCGAGCGAGTGGCAAGATCAATGAAACGCGGCGCCACGCATCGATCACAGCCGAGACACACCGTTCTATCGCGCGTTGTTACACTCGGTCGGTGCGCGATCGTGATTCGTTTCGATTCGCGTGTACGTACGGCGCATTCGAAATATAACCGAAAGGCTGTGCGCGCAAGGTGTAATGACCCTGAAACAACCGCGTTCCACTCGACACTCGACTTGGGTGGGTGGCGAGAGAGCGTAGCCGGTTTATAATTTGGATATTTGCGATTCGAATATATCTCCACGAATCGATATTAATTCGTAATAAGAATTAATAACAGATAGAAATTATAATAATAATAGGAAGATGAACATTTTCTGAATGAACGAGAGGATTGATTTTTCTTTCTCTTTTCTGTTTTCTTTTTTTTTTTGGGGGGATAAAAAAATGAGTCGAAGATATGCACGTATAATCGTTGGCCGCGTGATTTTCTATTTGCAGTCGATTCGACGTATTGCGTTTATTTCGCAATTCGTTGGTACTTTGTCGCGACGTGGCATGAATCTCGCTTTCATCCAAGACGCAGGTGTTAAACGCCTATCATCGCTATATTTACGTGATGGCTGCTAGTGCGGGGGATCACCGAGCTAAAAACGGCTTGCTCGAGTCTCTCCATCAGTCGATGATCAATTTCTTTTTTTAAACGAAGAAATGTGAAAATTTTTAATCATCCAAATTGTTGATTTCGTTCGTCGAATCGAGGGAAATTGTAAAGCGATTGAAAAGCTCTTGTTTCTGCAGATATTTTCAAATAATTGTATCGTAATTACAATATCGAAGATTCGTTGAAAAGGATACGCGCACAATTTTCACTCAATGTATAAATTTTCCGAATTATTTTGTACAACCAGTTGAAAGGGACACGTTTTCCATCGCGCGTGAAATATGATGGGATCACGTTATGTATCGACGTTATATAAAAATCATTTCACATGCGGTATATTCCGGCTGAATTCGCTTGAATACAGAGGAAACTTTAATTAAAAAGTTTATTAATTATTAATTAACGAAATTATATTTTTCGAATATAATTCGCACGAATAATCTGTGACCACCGAAACCAACGAAACGGTAACAAATTCTATTCAATTTTTAATCATGCTTCGCAATTGATCAAAACTTTACGAAATTAATCAGTTTTATCCGTTTCGAAACGAAAATTCAATATATAATCGATAAAATTAAAATACTTCACGATCAATTTCAATCTCTGTTCTCGATTTAGATCGCTGTTCAAATCGTTATACGATATAATTTATCCGAATAAAACCACTACAGATAAAAAAAAAAAAACTGAGCAATCCACTTCAATCTCTATTTAACCCACACTTCTTCCTCATCCTCATCCTATCACATCCTTTTCCGATCCGAGCCCGAAACATCTCGTTTATCTCGTTTATCCTTGTAATCTAACTCGGAAAAAAAAAATTCACTGACTCGAAATTCAAAATTTAAAAAAAAAAAAAAAACGAAAGAGATTTAAAAAGAAAATAAAAGAAAGAAAAGGGAGTCGGTCGCACTCGTCTATCCTGGGTATATGGGGCACGTACCAGGGTGAAGAAAGCGGCGCGCACACGGCCAAACATCCTGCCACCGTTCGCTTCCGTTCAGCAAGCCATCGTCCCAAAGATCTCGATCCCGTGCAAGATGATGATCTGTTCGGATTGTACACGCAGTGTGCCGTTCGAACTGAAAGACTGAAGACGTAGCCGGCAGAAGAAGGCTTATATACAGGGTGGGGGTCGGCAAGAGCAACCGACCAACTTGGTGCCCATCCTTCTTGGTGTCTTCTCTTTTCCCCATTCTTCTCCGTTTCGACTCCTTCAGGGATAATTCTTGCGTGCCCCCCACCCCACCACCCATCCCCATTATCGTACCGTGGTGTCGTGATCCTTGTTCGTCTTGGACCTTCGTCTTGGACCCTTCCGCTCGGCCGAGGAACGAGTCGTGGAACGTGGTACGAACGATCGTTCCACTCTTCGTTATGGTTATGCGGTATGACGATGAGTTTGGTAAAGCTTCTCTCTTTTTTCTTCTCTTCCCTTCCCTTCTCTTCTCTTCTCTTTTCTTTCTTTGGGAGAGCTCCCTTGTTGGGCTTCTCGCTTCTCACCTGCTCCAAAGTGAGTCGAAAAAGAGAGAGGAGATGGGTGGTTGTTAACCACGAAACGAGGAGGAGGAGGAGGAGGTGTGCTATGGACGAATGATCGATGAATATCGAGGGAATGTAAATTCATCGATATTCCTTTTATTTCGACGGTTTTCATTATTTTTGCCGCGGAGGAGGATGGGACGTGGGTGGGTGGGTAACAAGAGGTTTCATCGCGATTCACCTTGGGATCGGGAACGGGTTACCCTCTTTTCGAAGAACGAGCATCCTCTTCGATCTTCTTTCTATTTTATTTTATTTTCTCTTCTCGTTTCTTTTCGCCACTCGAATATAAAATTTACCAATTATCACCGCTTATTATTATATCGTGAAATATATAATTTATCGTCCCCATATATAAGTATATATATTTTATATATATATATATATATCGTTGAATGGAATAACGAGACGAAAATTGATGGTATCCGGAACGATTCGAAAATTCTTTTTGGGATCATCACGTAAGATTCGTGATTCGATCCGTGACGCGTGGCCTTTCCAGCCGTTCGCAAGGACTATGCAGGTATTTCGCAGGTGGGACGAGGCACGACGATGAATCACCTCGTTAAGGATTCTCGAGAAATTCATTTCTCGCGTCCGATTCATCGAGTTTCGTAGGTGAACGTGCAATTGGGGAAGGCCGTGGAAGATTCACGACCAATGAACAGGAACGGATTCCTTCTTAACGCTTTATATAGTCGTTTCGCGTTCTATTTTCGCGCACAGCTGCACTTTCTGCGCTTGCTCGTCTCGTTAAGCTCGAGGTTGATTCGTGAGACAGTCAGCAAAATTCCAGGAAACTGAGACGAAAACTAACTAATCCAAGTGTCGCGTATTTATTATAGGACAAAATGTAATTGCCAATGAGTCAAACGATTAATTAGATCGATTGAGACGTCGTTAAAGTATCGTGTCTCTCCCCGAGAAATCCTTGAACTTCTATAAAGGGTTCGTAAGTAGTTCGTTTGTAACAATTCCGTCGTTTCGAACGAACGAATCTTTTTTTTTTTTTTTCCGCGTTTGGATGAAAAAACATGGAGCCAAAAGTGGCGCCAAACGCCATGTTAAGCCTCTTTCGAGGCCTTGAACAAATTAACGGTGATTTCTCGGAGATCAAGATTAACGTCTTTAAACGGATTGGAAGTGGAAGTAGGAAGTCGTTTAAAGGTCTGTTGTTCGGTGATTCGTTGCGCGGATTTAAGATTAGATTTAACGATACTCTTTCAACTCTTTCTTCTTTTCAAATTTTTTGTTGAACGCGTGAATGAATATCGTGAAAAATTAACTCGAAGAGAATTATCGTATTTGCGTTGTTGAAACGATGCATTTGCAAATGCGGTTCCAATTAATGAAAACGCGTTCTACAATGAATTTTCTATCGTTGTTACACGCAACGTATATTATTATCACGATATTCAACGGTAATAAAATAAATCTTCCGTTCTTTGGAACAATAACATTCTAAGAAGAAAATATATCCTCGTGAAATTCTTTTTTTTTTTTTATTAAATGTTAAGCTTCTTCTAAAATTCTAATATTTTTGCTAATATTATTATATGGTATTCGTACATTAACGAGATAAACTTTTCATTCTTTCGAGCGAACAAATTATTGTTAAAAATATCCTAAAAAAAAAAATCTCTATTAAATTTTAAGCTTCTTAAAATTTTAAAAACGTTGGCGATTCGATTTGCATAGGATGCATCGATTTATCAACGGTGTTATTACACGTGTCGGTGGGGAAAGCTCGACTTTGGTATTTCTTACGTATGCGGGTGTGAACTTCGATTAGCCAAGAGTCAAGAATCGCGAATATTACGCGCCGGTTGCAAATCGGTTTGATGTAACGAACGGAATAACGTTTGGAGAAGCGAGTACGCGGCTTGCATAACACGAATTTCAGGCGAAAACCTTGACTTTAAAACTGGCCGGTGCCTGTTGCACTTTCGGATACGCTTTCCTCCGCTTTATCGATTATACGATGTTTCCATTTCACACGATATTCCACGATTTTACGATCGATGGGATCGAAGTGACGTTCGAATGTTGCGTACATGGTTGTACGATCTTTTTGT